ACCCGTTGCCATGAAGTCAATTCCGACTCATAGCGACCCTACAGCACAGAGTAGAACTGCCCCACAGGGTCTCCGAGGAGCTGCTGGTGGATTCAAACTCCCAACCTTTTGGTTAACAGCCGAGCTCTTAACCACTGTGCCACCAGGGCTCCATGTCCACTACAGGCCTCAGATTATCAGTGTCAAACTCGCAATATTTTTATTCATATTTTCTTACTATATTGCCTTACAACTTTAAATAACTAAAGTTATTGTCATCACTTAAACATACTAACTTTTCATTATATCAGGAAGCAAAGGGAAAGTTTTCCGTTCTTTACAGAAACAAGATATACATTTTATGTGGAGTCCTGGTGGTGCAGTGATTAAGAGCAATGGCTGCTAACCAAAAGGTCAGCAGTTTGAATCCACCAGCTGCTCCTCAGAAACCCTATGGGGCAGTTCTATTCTGTCCTATAGGGTCACTATGAATTGGACTCAATTTGATGGCTACAGGTTTTTATAATGGACATGGTTACTTGACCATGTCTAAAACATTAAATGTATGAATTCTAAAAAATGACTGCTCGACAACAGCAAAACAAAACAAAAATCACAGAAAAATTCAATAAATAAAACCATCTTATGGTTTCATCCTGTTATTTTTACATTTGAAGGAAAAGCCAAGACGACTCACTAATCCAAGATTCCAGAGCTATTCAGCCGGGACAAGAACTCCAGTCTCATGGTTTCTGGTCTATTCTTTGCACTACACAAATTCCCTATCCTGACACAAGGCTAAGAAATTGATCTAAAATTTTTGGAAAACATTAGTGTACTAGGTTCCAAATTTTCTTGAACATGATATATAAAATCTGAAGCACAGTGAGATCTAGTATGTTGACACTTCCACAGACAATTAGTGGTTGAAATCTTCACCACGCAACCACCGCTGCTCTTGCCAAGCTCTCCTTCTACGGAGAAGCTTTAAACAAAGGAAAAATCGTCCTAGGCTCATGTTTCACAACATTTTCATTTTACCTTTAAAAACCTCCCGAAAGTACTAAAATAGTCAACTTTCTTGACTTCTGAAGGTTTCCTCTCTCCTACCTCCCAGAATTATATCAAGGCCTGGACAGAAGAGTCGCCCTTTGGACCTATTTTGTGGAAGATAAATCACATCCCTTACCCAGTCTCGGACCTGGCACCAGAACTTGCAGGCCTGCCTATCTGCAGATTTCAAACGCCAATGACAGTGTATTGAATCTCACTAGGGGACACACCATAAGCCAGCTTTTGCCAGTCAGCGAGTTTGAGAGATACTGTCTTAACAGTTCAGGATTGTAAAGCAGAAAGAGAAGAGACTTTATAGACAGGAATAAAAATTGCTTGTCAATTTAGCCATTGCTGTCTCCCTAAGTTCCATTTCTTATTACCCAGTAACTACTGGGTCCTTAAGTTACAAAAGAAAATTAAAACAAAATTAATTTGTCATATTTTTATTTGGATCTGAAATATTTCAATAGTGATCCACATTATCTCTTTCAGAGTTCAATTACCAGTACTGGACAAACCAGACTGTCGTCCATAAGGACATATATATAAAACAGCAAGAAGGTGCAGAGCAAACAAAAGCCTAAGTGATTTTTAAAACAGTGGCAGCAGCCTGAGAACTCAGGGTAAATTGTCCCTAGTTAAAAGACACTCTAATGCACATTTTCATTAAGATTTGCAAACACATTGCCTTGAAAAACAAGAATAAACTCAAAGAAACATGAGCAATTTGAGGATAAGTAAGAGGTATTAGACATGAAAATATGATTGCTCAAAGACATGGAACAGCAGAGAGGATAATTTGTCATGAAGACAAGATCAGAAACATTTTTTTAATGCCTGACTCTAAAGGATTCTTGATTTATATACTAGATTTCCATATACAGTGGCTTGTTTCTGGACTCTATACTTCACTGATTTCATTCTCTATACTAGTGCAAACACCACTTTCTAAATTTCTGTCATTTTACAATAAATTTTGGTATCTAGAAAAACAAGTTTTTCCTTCATTAATAAACATTTAAAAACAAGTCTTACTTTATTGTAACAAATTTATAAACTTTGGGATTAGCCTGTTAAATCTTATATTAAAATTCTCATTGGGAACTTAAACTGGGATAACACTGAATTTAAAAATATATTAAATAAAATAAATATGTACAATTGACAGAATGGCCATTTTTGCAATATTGAATCTTCCCATCAAATTCATGTTTCTCTATTTATGCAGGTCTTTCATATCCTATACATTTCTTCATATATCTATTGCTATTTTATTTTCATTGTATTCTTTTCCATTATTTTTTCTGATAAAATATAGGAATTCTATAGGTTTTTTTTTGGTTCTAGCTACCTTACTGAACTCAATTTTTTCTAATAGTTTTTAAATAATTTTTATGAGTTTTCTAGGCAGTTACCTGTCTTAGTTATTTAGTGCTGCTATAAGAGAAATATCATAAGTGGGTGGCTTTAGCAAAGAAAAATTTATTCTCTCACAGTTGAGAAGGCTAGAAGTCCAAATTCAGGGTGCCAGCTCTCGCGGAAGGCTCTCTCTCTCTGTCAGCTCTGTGGGAAGGTTCTTGTCATCAGTTCTTCCCTGGTCTAGGAGTTTCTCAGAGCAGAGACCCCGGGTCCAAAAGACGTACTCTGCTCCTAGCAATTCTTTCTTGGTGGTTTATGAGGTCTCTGTCCTCTCTGCTTGCTTCTCTCCTTTATATCTCAAAAAAGACTGATTCAAGATACAACCTAATCCTGTAAATTGCATCCTGCCTCATTAACATAACTGCCTCTAATCCTGTCTCATTAACATCATAAAGGTTAGGATTTATAACACATAGACATACGTCAGATCACAAAATAGAGGACAACTACACAATTCTGGGAATCATGGCCTAGCCAAGTTGACACACATTTTTGGGGGACACGAGTCAATCCATAACATTACCATTTACAAAGAATCCTAATTTTATTTAGTGCTTTTTTCTTTTTGTCTTTTTCAGTCAAACTGCTTTGCTTAGAATCTCCATAACATTACTAAGTAATACTATCAATAGAGGACATTCTTGTTTTGTTCTTGATTTAACAGGCATGACAACACTGCTTCTCCATTAAGTATGATAATTAATATAGGTTTCCAAAGCATACCTTTAAGGTATGAAATTAAAGAACTATCTTATTCTTTGATTAGCAAGAGTTTTATTAGTAATGATTTTTTTCAGTATCCAATAAGGGAATCACCTTTAAATAATCAGTGAAGTTTTATTTACTTTACATTTATATACTGCTTACTCTGTGCCAGACAATAGGTTTTGTTACTATTTCCATTTTAAAGATGAGGAAATTGGGGTGTAAGAGTTACTTATGTAGCTAGTAAGTGGTTGAGCCAGAATTTAAATACAGGAAATTTGGATTCAGATTTTGTACTCTTGGAACCATTCTTAGATCCCTGCTAATAAATAGTTCTTACTGAAGTTTTCTTTAGGAATTTTACATCTATTTTCATTAGTGATACCAGTCTATAAGTTTCTTTATTGTGCTATCCTTGTTTAGTTTTACAATCAGTATTGTGCTATCATTACAGAATAAATTCAAAAGTTTTCTATGGCAGCTAGTTTCCAAGATGACCCAGATGATTCCTACCTATTGGCACTGACACCCTTGAAATTCCCTCCTGTACTGTAATACAGTCGGTTTATTATAGCTGGGTAGAAGCAATAGTATGTCACTTCAAAAACAGGTCAAAAAAGACTGCAGCTTCTATGTTGGGCTTTTTCTTTTGGATCACTCACTCTGGCAAACCAGATGTCTTATGCCGAGGAGACTCAGGCATTCCTGTAGAGATGCTCATGTGGTGAAGAATTGAAACCCCTAGTCCAACAGCTGCAACGAGCTGAGAGGCCTGTCAGTAGCCACATGAGAGAGCTTGGAAGTGGATCCTCTACCTTCCGACGACTGTAGTACCAACTGACAGCTCCACAGCAACCTGACGAGAGCCTGAAACAGACCCACCCAGCTAAGCCACTCCTAGACTCCTAACTCTTAGAAACTGGGTGAGATAATAAATATTTGCTGTTTTAAGCTGCCAAATTTGGGGGTAATTTGTGATGCAGTAATAGACAACCAGTGCACTTTGCACTATGTATCAATATCACAAGAATCCACTGTTCGTGCAAAGGCTGAAGAGAGCTGACAGGTAAAACCTGGCGTTTTGGAAAGATAAATATTTAATTACTTTTTGGTTTTTTTCCAAAGATAGTCAATTCAGATTTTTTTTATCTCATCTTGCACAAAAAAAGTTCAAGTTTTCCATGTATTTTCAAGAAAAACCTTCCCACTTCTTGTACCTTTTTAATGTGTGAATATAAAATCTTAAACTCTCTTCTGTACCTATAGGTAGATTCCCTTTTCATTTTTGCTATTTTATACACACATGTATATATATATATTTTTTCTCTTTTGTCTTGCCAGTGGTTTGTCTATTTTGTTTTTCTTACGAAAGGGGGTAAATCCATGATTAACTTATCCAGGCTACTGATTTGTACTCTATTTAATTAATTATAAATACATAAAGTCATACGGTTAAGACTTGTTTTAGTACCTCTTTGATGTTTTTAGTAGATCTTTGATATCTAACTCATTTAGGCATAAAAATCCTCACTAGTTTCTGTTTTATCTTCAAAAAACAACATTTCAGTCCGCCTTTTTTGCAAAAATAAACAATAAATAGATTAATGTAAAACATGGTTAGAAAAAGAGTAATCTAGACAAGGTTTGGAGCTCATATTAAATTATAGAAACTTCCTTTATGAAATATAGTATTATCAAAAAATTCCAAGTCATTATTTTCATAGCCAAGTCATTATTTTCACACCAAGCTTTTAATTAAAATGGGTACTCCAAAATTTTAATTACTATTTTCTTGTCTGAAAGAATTAACTTATATATAACTTGAAAATAAAATAAAATACCTTCAGGTTATATTTATGAGCTTTATCCAAAATAGTCGGTACCAAATCATCAGTAGGTTCTCCATTCTCATCCTTTGAATCAGGTGGGTACCAAGACAGTGCTAGTACACCTAAAAGAAAAGGTCATTTAAAAATAAAAAAAGGAAGAAGATAGGAATAAGGATGATTGTAGATATTCTAGAAAAGGTATAAGTACCAAATAGTTAACAATAAAAAGATAAAAAGAGACATTTTCTCATAGAATGTTGTGTTGTTACCTTATTTACACACTATATACAGGAATTTCATTACTTTGTACAGTCAGTATTTATGAACTCTTTATTAGGCATCAGTATCTTTTAACAGAAAATTCAAAATAAGTGAAAAATTACAGTTCCTCCCTGTAGTACATACTTACCATATAGTTGATAAATGAAAAAATAAGCATCAGAAATATAAGCCTGCATGAAAATTACTATCTAGAGAGGGAATATTTGAGAGCAACTGATTTATAGTCCTATATGTATTAATGAAATTACATATATAGCTGAAACAACAGTGAAAACACCAGGCCCAGATGGTTTCACTGGTAAATTCCATCAAACACGTAAAAAGAAAATAATACCAACGCAACACAATCTCTTACAAATAGTAAAAGAGAGAAGATGTCTCAACTGATTTTATGTAGACAGTAATACTCTAATAACTAACCAAAGCTATTTCAAGAAAATAAAACTACAGATCAGTATCCCTCATGAACACAGTCACAAACAGAAATCTTTAAAAAATATTAGCAAATAGAATTGAACAATGTATAAAGGGATAATAAATCATAACCAAGTGGGGCTTATTGTAGGAATGCAAGGCTTGTTCAACATTTGAAAAATCAGTGAGTCACCATAATAGCAACTGAAAAAGCAGGAAAAAACAACACACTGCCAAGGGACAAAGCAATCAATAGAGCTAAATTCAGGCATCTGTAGCAATATTAAAGCTGTATGGAACTATCACCAATCAACAATTACGGAGACAAATTTAAATTTAATAGAATTGCTGTTACTCTAAAAAGAAACAAAGTAAAGACATTATGTCAGCTGTTCACAGGTAAGGTACATTTAAACTTTAAAACTGATTCATCTTATTGTAACTTCTACTTCTGCTACTTTTATGTACAAATTTTAAAAGAGAGTTTCAGAAATAAAAACTGTGATCTTAGGGAAACAGAAATTTTCTAATTTCAGAAATTATTCTAATGTTGATATCCATCCAGAACTTTTAAAATACCAATGATAAAAACAAAGAAAAGACTAGGAAATGTAGCTTACTCATTTTTATGTACCCAGAATCTAGCACAATTTTGGGAAATGGTAGAAACTCAATATTTAGTGTTAAACTGAAGGAAGAGAAGATAATTTTAAAGACATAGAATAAATTATACTTTGCTAAGTGTTTTTTAATGAGTTTTCTATTGCTGCCATAACAAATTAGCAGAAACTTAGTAGCTTAAAGCAACACACATTCATTATATTACAGTTCTGTAGGTCAGAAGTGTGTGTGACATGAGTCTCATTGGGCAAAGATCAAGCTTTCAAACTGGACTGTATCCCTTTCTGAATGCTCTAGGGAGAATTTGTTTCCTTGCTATTCACAGATTCTAGAGACCACCACGTTCTTTGGCTTATGATCCCCTTGCTCGATTTTCAAAATGAGCAAGGGCAGTTCGAGTTATTTTCACATCACATCTCTCTGACCTTCTCCGTTTCCCTATTCTTTCAACTTTTAAGAACTCATGTGATTAGACTAGGCCTACCTGGATGATCCAGAATAACACTGCCCCCCATTGCAAGGTAAGCTGATTAGCAACCTTAATTGCTTCCTGGACCTTAATGCCTTTTTGACATGTAAGGTAACATATTCACAGATTCTAAGGATTAGGACATGGACATCTTGGAGGCCATTATGCTGTCTACCCTGCTAATTTTTTTCTAAGACAGAATAAATAAATAAAAAGGTATTCCCCTGGTATCTTTAGAATGATAAGATATGAATACAAGGGAGAGACTATACGGTATATGATCCTTTACTTAATAGACATGAAAATCATGCAAATTATATAAGAGGCTTCAATTTGCTCCCTGATATATTTTAATAGTGTAATGATTGGAGTTTAAACATAACATTAATACTTCATTTTAATTTCACATTTTCTAGGAAAAAAAAAAAGGTTGGACCATTAGGATTTTTACACAGAACATTTCTGATTTTAGAAGCATAAATCAACTGACTTGTGCAATGTAATAGTAATAATACAAATACTGGATGCACCAATTTAAGAATAAAAATGGTTATATCAAACAAAAAATATGTTAAAGACGAAGTCAAAACATATTAAACCATACAGCAATTTCAATAGCTTCCATTTGCTATCTTCTTTAATTTGAGAAATGCTAGTTAGCATGTAACTCCACTGATCAAAATCATGTTTTGTGTTAAGAATTTTTAGGGTCAATTTATTCTTTGTCTAAGAATCATGAACATAATCGAACATCTAACTGGTTAAGAAATTATTTAAAAATGGATAGCAATGTTGTCACTTTTATTACTATTGAGTGGCTGTTTATTTTTCCCAGCAGAAAATCCACTCAAAAAGTAAAATATTTGCATCAATAGTGAAATTGTCAACATTTAAAATAAAAAATAATTGTATTGCTGATGTTTAGAAATAATTTATGTTCACGTACACCATGTAAGAATGAAAAGTGGAGAAAAATGTCATTATAAGCATTAGACAGGCACAAAACTAAATGTAAACTGAAGCTTTTCTTCTTAATATCACAATAAAATTATAAAACAAAAATATTTCTTGCTATGAAAAAAACACCTCATCGTATACTGTTCATTTGCATAAAGAAAATTAAAAATGTTCAAGAATAACCATTTTGTCTGTCATCCAAGCACAGGTTTTTTAGCCACAAAGACCAAGTCAGTGTTGAAATAACAAGACCTGAATATGATATAAATATGAATATGAAATAAATATAAATATGAAATTTTTTTTAAAAGGTCCTCCCCCTAAAAGTCAATTAGTAAATGGAGACAGATATGCACACCCATACACAGAGGCAATGCTGTCTAAACTTAACAAGCCTATATCACGTCATAATGCAGATAGAACATAGAAACTAACACTATCAGTACCTAATAGACAGTTAGATTTTTTAAATATTTGGAAAACAAAGTACTCCATAGAAGAAGTCATGTTGCACATATTTGATGCAGATTCACAGAACTCTACCATGTTTCGGTCATGAAAGAGCCCTTTATTTTCTCTCTATATATCAACTCCAAAGTGACTCTGGGCCTTTACAAAGAACGAGAAAAATGCAAGAACACCCCATTTCTTCTTGTGGTCCTACTGCTAGGGACACTAACAAGACAGAGGAAACTTAAACAGGTAAGTTTTACATAGGGTATAGCAACAAATTAAAGACTTGCAGGCACCAAATTAAATTTTTTCATTTTGTTCACCTGTGTGACAGTATGAATCTATCTAAATGTCTGTAATTGGAGTGCCAAGGAGAGGAAAGAGAAAGAAAAAAAAAGCGGTGGGTGGGGGCAATAAGGATAACTGCTGACTTCTCATCAGAAACAAAAAAAGACAAAAGTTAATTTCAGCACATTGACCATACTGAAACTAAAAAAAAAACTCAATCTATTACTCTATATCGAGTAAAAAGTCTCCAAAAATGAAAGTGAAATAAAGATATTTATAACAAAAACTGAAAGAATGTGTTGCTATCAGACACGTACTAAAATGTTAAATGACATTGCTCAGACTGAAGAAAAACTTAGATCTACATACAAGAATGAAGAGTGATGAAAACGGTAAACATATGGATATACATAAGATTACTCTTATTTTTAATTTTTTAAAGGATAATTCATTGATTAATGGATAATAACAGTATTGTGAGATTTATAACACATGTAGTGGTAAAACGCATTATAACAATAGTACAAAGGGCAGAAAGGGAGAAAAATGAAATATATTGTTTTAAGTTCTTTACATCATAATTATAAATAAGGTATTATACTATTGCATAAAGGTAGATTATGACAGTTAAAGGTGCATATTGTAAACTCTAGAGCAATCACCAAATAAATAAAATAAATATATCTAATCAGCCAGAAGAGAATATAAAATGAAATATTAAACATATTCAATAAAACAGAAGACAGGAAAAGGCAAAAAAGAAGAAAAAACGATGGGACAAACAGAAAACAAGCAGCAAAAGGAAATGTTTAAAATCACCATATCATTATTCCATTAAATATAAATAGAGAAATTAAAAAAGGAGGTGTCAAACTAGTTTAAAAAAAAAAAGAACCAAATAGCAAGACCAAATTATACATCATATGCCTAAAATTTGAAACTGCCCACTGTCCACCAGCAGGTGAATACAGAAACAAATCTGCTATAATTATACTTGGAATATTATTCACCTACAAAAAATGACTAAACTGATATAACGTGGGTGAGTCTCAAAATAATACGCAGAACTAAAGAAGCAAAACACACACACACATATGCAGGATAATTCCACTTTCATAATGTAGTAGAATATTTACAACTAATCTGCAGTGATAGAAATCAGAACCATAGTTTTCTGGGGTGGAAGGTGAATAAGGGAAGCACAATGAAATATTCTGGACTATGCAAATATTTATATCTTGACTGAGTGGTGTTTAAACAGAAACATACCTTTGAGAAACATCAATGTAGCTATACATTTAAAGTGGGAGAATATACTGTATTTTATGTAAATTATAACTTAATAAAATTCAAAATGAAAATAAATTAGAAATCAATAAATATATCCAAAAAAAAAAAATTGGGAATTAAACAACCATACCTAAAAGCAGGGTTAAAAGGGGCTTGTCTAGATTTTTAAGACTGCATGTACAGTTTATTTGGATGTTATGAGTTTAAAAGTATAATCAGTATAACACTGTGAAAACTAGCAATTTAATGTTCCACAAAAAATTATATATATATGTATATATATATATACATACACATATATCCATAAGTAATAACACACACACACAATAATTACCAATTGAAGCTGAGCACATTTGTCTCATGTGGGTTTCTATGACAGAAGGATCCCGAGAGCTGTAACTTCCCAATTCAGGGTAAAAGCTAGAGCCAATATCCTCTGGGGGATTATGTCTCCCTTGTGGATAATTCTTGGCTATTCGAGGGTCCCAATGCTCCAAGACTGGATGGTTCCAATGTATATATTTACCATCAAATTGTGGATTTCCATACCAACTGTAATAAAATACATGTAAATAATAATTCAGGGGTGGCAGTTCTTCCAGGTTAAGTTCAGAGGGTTTGGCAGGTTTCATAGTGATTTCTACACTTTTTAAATTCTTGGGATTTGTTTCACTGTTGATTTTGTCACTCTTTTTGGAATCAGTTTTTTTTTCCAAGTGAAAAATTTGTTGTCGAAATTCTGGAAGAAGGTCAAGTCCAAAAGGATCTCCAAAAGTAGCTGTATTTGGTCTTAGAGCTTTTAAACCCATCATCAGTAAGAAAATAAATAGAATGAAAAGTGACAAAATGATGCAAGTCCTTCTCCGAAACTTTGCCATGATGACATGCTTTAAACTCCAAAATAGATGTTACGCTGCAATTTATTGGGAAAAAAGATAATTAGTAAGAGGTATTAACAATATTTTCTAATGTACTCAAAACTAAAAATCCATGAAGTTCACTACATTTAAAAATTAAGAAGTGCATTATGATTTTAATTATATCATCAAATACTGATGTCTACAAAAGAATCTATATCTGGCTAGACTAAATGGCAATACCTATTTAGGAATATCACCTTTATTTGCATGATAATTATATTTAGTGAAATAAACATTTTAGGAACTTTCCTTACGAAAGCTAAATATAGTCAACTTTCATTATGTGAACAGATTTTGTGTATATTCAGTACAGAAAGCGAATATTCTTCTACATCTACGGACTAAAATTTTCTAAATACAAGTATAAAGTTAAAAGATCATAGTAAATAAAAGGAAATACTTGTGAGTATATTAAAAGCCTAGTCATGAAATTAATTTTCAAGTTTTTTTTTTAAACTAAAATACCAATTTTACAAGGGAGTACGCAAACATTTAAAATAACATTTTGAAATAGAAAAGAATCAGACAAAAAAGAAATGAAAACAGAGGAAAAGAATGATCGTAAATTTGATAGTCCTATTTTTTTTTTAACTTTATTATTTTGCAACTCTGAAAAGTCTTATTGACCAGAGGTCATAAACACTAACTTATATCTTCTAAAATGGTACCATATTTCTGTGCTTGTATAAGTGTGTGTATGTGAATGTATGTATAGGGTATGTATATATAAACACACACATAAATATTTGTCTTTTTATATACAAATTTCCTATTAGAAAGGTATTTGATGAAAAATTGGCAATGATTACATTTATAAAATATGACTTTTTAACAAATATATCATGCTGTTTTTATTCTAGATAATTAAGTTAAAATAAACTTCAAACCCTGATAGAAAAGACAGACGAGTAAAATAATCTAATGGGTAATTCTATCACACACACAAACTGCTGCTTCTATTATGTGTGCACGCAAGAAATACTAAGATGATTAAGCATAATTCTTTTTGAGCTAAAATCATAGAGGGTTCTTTTCAAAGTCAACCTTGTTTAATTGTGAAATATATTATGCCTAAAGAATAACATAAAAGACATATGTCTAGTTTAAAGTATACTTATAAGCTAAACATTTAAATAACCATCATCTAAGTTAAAAAACGAAAAATATCAGTGTAAAAGCTCCTCACCACCTCTTTTGCCTCCTCTTAATCACCAGCCCTGATGTTTCTTCTTGCTTAAGGGCAAATGTTTGACATTTATGTTTTCCAATTCCCTCACCTTTCTTTACAGTTTCCCACCACAAAAGGATACTTCTTAACCAATCTTCATTTCACATCGCCTGCAGAGAATTTTATTTATACACATACACACACACATAGATGGCTATGGATATATACACAATAAATAGAAAAAATTTAATACACATACTTATGTTATATGTAAGTATGGTGTATGTATGCTTTGCATATACTTATATATGTATATTGATATGTGTGCGTATATATATGTATATATACAATTAAATATACATGAAATACACAAAACTCTTGGGAAATAATAATACTAAACTTTCTCTGAAACTTTACCTCATTTCCTGACTCTTCTCCATCCCTGTGTTCTATCAAATCAATTCCCTCTTCCTCTCTCGTATAAAAAACCACGAAAATGGACTTTATGCAAAAGAATAGGTAGATGCATTTGGGGATTTTGTTTTAATAACTATGTTAATTTCTGGTTTGAAGAATATGTTTCATATCAAATATTCCCTTTCCTAAACTTCAAAGTAACACTTTTTATTGTTTCAAGACTCTAATTTGGGACCCCTTCCTGCCATTAGAAGCCCTGGTGACACAGTGGTTAAGAGCTCGGCTGCTAACCAAAAGGTTGGCAGTTTAAATCTACCAACCGCTCCTTGGAAACTCTACGGGACAGTTCTACTCTGTCCTATAGGGTCTCTGTGAGTCCAAGTCAACTTGACTCGATGGCAATGGGGTTTTGTTTTTTTTTTCCTGCCATAAAGTTTTTATTATATTTTGATAATATTACCGCATGGATACACTGTGACTACAGCCACAAAGCTAGGCTCATTAAAGTATGTTATATAATCAATCGATAAAATAAGACATACTAAACCAACCATTGTAAAAGTAGACATAGTTAAGTTTAATATGACAAAACAGTTGAGTCCTTATTCCTTTCTAAGGAGCAAACAAAATTTTATTTTACTGGTTGAGATATCCAAGATTTTCTAGAAAATGTAAAAAGTATGTAATTCAATTTCAATTGAGCAACTGTATATGTAGAAAAATTATGCTAGATGCCACATGGAATAGGTTGATTGGTAAGACACAGTTCTTATCCTCAAGCAGCTTAGAGTTTATGAAGTGGGAAGACAAGTACACAAATACATATAACTCAAAGAAGAAAAGTGCCAAAAGAGAAATGGAATATGCGTATAAAGGGATGAAATGTTATATAAATTAAGTAGTTGTAAAAAACACTCTAAAGCAAAATCTTACAAGATGCTTAAAGAATGAGTACAATGTGCATAGCCTGGTGATAAGAAAGGAAAAAGAGAATGGCTATAAATGGTAGGGGAATCAGTATGCCCAAAGATACACTGGAGGAGGAAATTTGTTTGTGAAACAGCAAGCCTCTTTTGGCTACGGCACAGTAAACAAGGAAATGAGGTAAGATAAAGCTGCAATGGCTTGTTGAAACCACTGTACCTAAGTGAGAGAACAGTTATTCTAGCAGAATAACTGAAGGCTTGGAAACAAAATACTGGTACGATCAGTTTAGATAAGAAAGATAAAACAGGTATAAAAAAATGAAGTTTAAGCCATCAGACTTTACCATTTTATGAAGGGACTTTAAGCAAAAGAACAGGTAGATGGGTTTGCAGATTTTGAATACCCTATTCGCTGAAGATTTCTGCAACTGATTCATTGTCTTCTTTCCTTCCCACCCTATTTCTATTATTATTTTTAGTGATTCCACCATCAACATGAATGATTCAACTAATAGCTTCATCTACCAATTCTTTGACTCCTTCATTTCTAATGAACTGTTCCTCCACTCCACTTCACCAACTGAACTATCATATCCTTGATCTTCTCATTTTCAATAATTACGCCAGTCTAAAGTCTGTTTCAATTTTTCTACTTTCCAAACATAACTGTCCATGTTTTAAGCCCCCCAGTTGAGTGTCCTCATTCTGACAATTCCTTGACCTTACCGAGATGTCCAATCCACTGATCCCACTACACTACTCATCTCTTTCTTCATGTTTTGTCTCTACTGGCCCAGGTTATAGTCTAAGGCGAGCACAGACTATGTAATAATTCCTCACTTGCAAATACTCCTAACTTCCTTTATTTTTCTCCCTTCCTAACACATGCCTGATAAAACCTCAAATAAATGATGCCTGTTTAGAGCTTGCACCAGAACCATAGAATGATACTGGAGAAAAACATACAACCAGGCTGACCTCCCATTTGAACTCATGGCTATAAATCTCAAACGGCCTGGTATGTTCACTTTTCTAACCTTAACGGGATTATTTCATTCCTTCTCCTTTTTTCACAAAACCTGCTAGTATATCTTCAATCTCCCTTACTCTCTTCTCATATTTCATAGAGAAAACAGAAGTAAATCAGTCAGAAACTCCCTTGTCTTCAAATTGTCAAATTAACTAGCCTATTGACATCTTTTTTTCTTCTTCTGGTTTTAAGCAAATATTTTGAATTATTATTTTAATATTTTATTCTAGTTCACTGCCTTGCTTTTTGTCCATAGGGACTCCTATTACTTTTATTGACTCTTTGCTCATGTTTTAGAACTGCACCTTCTCTTTAATCTTTTTCATTCTTTGCAAATTTCATTTTAATTTTTAAAGGTTTCTGTTCAGTCTCTATTTCTCTTAATGCATCTGTTAAATTTTTTCTGTAAGGTTAGAATTATTTAAAAATTAAAAAGGAAAAAAGAATTCCACCAGCAAACTGGAGGGCATGAGAAGTTAACATGTTGTTGTTAAGTGCCAGAGTCGGTTCCAACTCCTAGAGATCCTATGCACAACAGAAGGAAACACTTGTCTGATCCTGAGCCATCCTTAAAATCGTTGTTATGCTTGAGCCCATTGTTGCAACCAGTGTGTCAATCCATCTTGCTGAGACACTTCCTGTTTTTCACTGACCATCTACTTTACCAAGCATGATGTCCTTCTCCAGAAACTGGTCTCTCCTTATAACATGTCCAAAGTATGTGAGATGAAGTCTCGCCATCCTTGCTTCTAAGGAGCATTCTGGCTGTACTTCTTCCAAGATAGATTTGTTTGTTCTTCTGGCAGTCCATGGATATTCAGTATTCTTTGCCGACACCATAATTCAAAGGCACCAATTCTTTGGTCTTCCTTATTCATTGTCCAGCTTTTCCATGTATATAAGGCGACTGAAAACACCACGGCTTGGGTTCAGGTGCACCTTAGTCCTTAAAGTGACATTTTTACTTTTTAACACTTTAAAGATGTCTTTTGCAGCAGATTTGCCCAATGCAATGCATCATTTGAGTTCCTGACCTGCTTCCATGGGCGTTAATTATGGGTCCAAGTAAAACGAAATCCTTGACAACTTCAATCTTTTCTCCGTTTATCATGATGTTGCTTATTGGTCCAGTTGTGAGGATTTTTGTTTTCTTTATGTTAAAGTGTAATTCACACTGAAGGGTGAGATAGTACACAATACTGAGGAAGCCAGCACAACTTGTACAAGTAAAGGTCATGAAAGCTCCACAGATACAGCCAAAGTCCCTGAGGGACTGAATTGTTAGGCGGAGGGCTGTGGGGGCCATGGTCTCAGGGAACATCTAGCTCAATTGGCATAACACAGTTTATAAAGACAATGTTCTACATTCTACCTTGGTGAGTAGCGACTGAGGTCTTAAAAACCTGTGAGCAGCCATCTCAGATACTCCACTGGTCTCACCCCTTCAGGAGC